GCAGAGTCAGCAGTTCAAGCTCACCAGCTGCTTCTCGGAAACCCTATTTAGGGTCGCTATGGGTCAGAATCAACTCTATAGCACTAAACAACAACAACAATTACAAGTATTTTTGTACAGTATATATGTCTAGAAAAAAATTGACCATTCAAAGATAGATGAAGAAGCGTTTCTATCTTGAAAATTTATGTGGACATTAATTTCTATTGAATAGCAGAAAATTAACAACTGTTGTAATACATGTGTGTCTCAAATTCGTTAGAGTTCTTAAATTTTTTTGTCACATAATTATTTTCTGTGATACCAAAGCCTCTTAGACGCGTTCCTTGATCTCTAATAACTCTAATAATATTTGGTTTATATTAATTCCGTTTAGGAGCACAGCAATTTCAGACCATAGCCACATGCTTTTCAAACAGGTATACTTGTATCTATCTGTATTTGTCACCTTGAGTTTTAAATTCTATAGATGTGTTATAATTAATCATCTATTAATAACATATTAAATATTAATTGTTACCATGAAGTATATACTACAGTCCATTTTTGTGGTACTCTTGATAATATGCTCAGAGGGTTAAAAAATATTTTAATGTTTATAATATTTTAATGTAAATCAAACAAAGTATTGCATTGGGCAAATTTGCTACACAAGACCTCTTTAAAATGTTCAAGAGTCAAAATGTCAGTTTGAGGGCTACGGTGCTCTTGACCCAAGCTATGGTATTTTCAATAACCTTATGTGCTTATGAGAGTTGGACAATGAGTAAAGAAGATTGTAGAAGAACTGATTCGTACAAGTTATGGTTGTTGTTGCTGTTAAGTGCCATCAAATCGATTCTGACCCATAGCAAACCTGTATAGGGTTTCCAAGGAGTGTCTAGTGAGCTTGAATAAACCACCAACCATGCAGTTCAAACCGACTTTGCAATCCAGCACATTAACCCAAGAACCACACCAGGACTTGTAAATTATAGTGTTGAAAGAGAATTAAAAGTACCATGGACTGCCAAATGAACAAACAAATCTGTGTTTGAAGAAGCACAGCCAGAATACTCCTTAGTGGCCTGGATGGTCAGACTTTGTCTCTCATATTTTGGGCATATTATCAGGAGGAACCAATGCCTGGAGAAGAAAATCATGCTTGGTAACATGGCCAGTCAGCGAAAAAGAGGAAGACCCCACACAACAAGATGGGTTGGCAAAATGGCATGGACAATGAGCTTAAGCATAGCAATGATTATGAGGTCAGCACAGGACCCGGCAGTGTTTTGTTGTGTTGTGCTTAAGGTTGCTGTCAACTCAACGGCACCTAATAACAACAACAATGTATACTCTGAGTCCTGGTGTGGCACTATAGGATAAGCACTGTACTGTTAACCACAAGTTCGGTGGTTCAAACCCACCAGCCTCCTCAGAAACTCTGTACAAGTTCGATATGAGTTGTAAGCAAGGCAACAGCACTTAAAAACAACAATGTATACTCAGGTAAATCCAGCAAGTAAATCCAGTGGTGTCCAAAGCCTCCTTCATTGAGATGATAGTAATAATTATGAAAGAAAATATATTTATTTCATTTTACTTGTAATGCAATTATTATCGAGTCTTGTTATTATAAACTCTGGGCTGCTAACCATAAGGTTAGCTGTTCAAACCCACCAGCCACTGCTCAGAAACCTTGTACAGGATGCTATGTCTTGCTAATATAAAATACATCTTAAATTTATCAAAGATGCTTAAAAACCCCAAAACGTACTTCCATCAAGTCAATTCTTACTCACAGGGACCCTGTATAGCATTTCCAAGGCTGTGAACCTTTATGGAAACAGAAAGCTTCATCTTTTCTCCCTCAAAGTGGGTTTGAACTGCCAGTCTTGTAGTCATAACCAACTTGACAACACTTAACACCAACAACAAAGTTTTACATAAGCATAGCTTTCTTAAACCAGATTTTTAAAGTGATTTATCAACATATTTGCAAAAGAACAGTTTATTTACTTAAATTGGCACATTTAATAATAACTTTTGTAACATAAATGCTTGCTTACGTGAAACTATAACTTATGTACAAACCTGTTTTTATGTGAGATACGTACACAAGTGGCCTTATGAGGAATTCCAACTCCACAGTATTTAGTTATTCTGACTGCTAAGGTGATCATAGTAATTGACAAGTTACTGGGAAAAGTTAAGTTTTTCCTTATTTATAGGGATAACTTCCATTTTAAGGAATGTGAAACCATTCATAGTTAGCTGAAAGCCCATTTCTCCTTCTCTAGCTCATGTACACACATGAGAAACACACTTGCTTCCAAGTGCTTGGTGAATCTACAATGACTCATTCTTCTCTGAAGTTTGCTGTAAATTCTTGTGATCCTCTGTGATGATGAGTCCATCAGCCACTTGGAGTTTATGCATATTCATATCTCTATACCCCTGCCACAGTCATTCATGTTTTCTTCCCTGACTGGTGTGTGCTTGGTGCAATAATTGAGCCTATCAGTCCTATTAATTAGGAAACAAAAGCTCTTATGGCAAGTTCAGCAGTCATGTTTCCAGGGTGGAAAATGATGAAAGGTATAATTTGTTCCTCTCCCTGAACCTTTGAAAATTTGAAGTTGGTCTGTATCAGTGGTGCTGGACAACTGCAAAGAGTCAGTATTTGTTTGAAAATCTTCATAGAAAGCTAAATGAAGAGAATCTGATTTAACATTACTGATTAGTTCTATGTGTGATCCCTTAAATATACTCTTCATCGTAAACATCCTTTGATTATTTCTATATTTAACTTTATATGAAGTAGTACGTTATTGTGGCAAAAGGGGTTCTACATGGAACCGTGTCCTCCAAAAGTAAGTCGTTTCAACACAGAAGCCTGTGCAGTTTACTTAGTTGACACACGTTTTCTTTTGTGTACTGTTCCCCATATTATAAGATTCTTCTCCTTTCCACCATTTCCAGCCATGAATTTTTCTTTTGAGACATAATTCACATACCACAAAATTCACCCATTGGGAGTATTCAGAGATTTTTAGTATATTCACAAAATTGTGTAGTCATCACTACTAATTCCAGAACATTTTCATCACCTCATAGTGCCCACTAATAGTCATTCCCTTTTCCCCTCACTGTGCATCCTCCCCCCAGTCCTTGGCAGCCACTAATGTACTTCCTATCTCTGTGGATTTGACTATCCTGTACTTTTCATATAAATGGAATCATACAATACATGGCCTTTTCTGTCTGGCTTCACTTAGCATGTTTCCAGGTTTCATCCACAATTGTAGCAAGAGTCAGTGCTCTAGTCCATTTTGTGGCTGAAGTCCTGGTATGGCTCTATGGGTTAATGAGCCAGACTGCAAAGCGGTTTTAACTGCAAGGTCGGCAGTTCAGGTTCACCAGCTGCTCCTTGGAAACCTATACAGGGTCGCTATGGGTCGGAACCAACTCGGCGACCCTTCACCACAACAACAATATTTATATGTGTGTGTGAAAGTTATGTGAAAATTGAATAGAAAGATAATGGAATTTTTCACAAACTTTTTGAAGCCCCTTCATGTGTTTGTGTGTATGTACATAACATTTTGTTTTTAATTAATTAAATGATGGATGTTTGTGTGACTCAGCTTTTGTGACTAATGTTGATAATAACACTTACGAACATTCCTATACATTCTTGTGTGTTCCTGATCTTAGGGGAAAAGCTTTTAATCTTTCACCATTAAGTATGATGCTAGCTATGAATTTAAATAGAGGAAAGTTCCTTCTGGTTTATTGAATGTTTTATCTTGAAAAGGTACTGGATTTTGTCATATGCTTTTTTCTATGTTTCTTGGTATGATCGTGTGGTTTTATCATTTATTAATTTGGTATATTACATTGATTTTCCGATATCAAATGTTACAACATTGTACAGTGTAATGGTTTCTTTTTATATATGACCTTTCTGACCTTGAGGTTTTTAGTTCTGCCAAGATGATTTACTTGACCACAATCCTGCAAAAGAGTCAGACACTTTATTGTGCAAATAAGATGACTGTGGCCTGCTGAAGGAATTGGTCAGTTTGTGGACTTGGAGTAGGCTAATGAAAGGGCTACTCCCACAGAGGTTGAGGAGGGAACCTTACCACTGTCAAGAAGAGCTAGGAGTGGAATACATCCTTTTAGCCTAGGGTCTCTGCTTAGATCCAGGAGACAGCAGTAACAATCTGAGCCTTGAACCAGGAGACTGGTGGGAAGCAGCTGCAATGTGCTTGCTGACGTACAGAGCAAGAGAGCTAAGCACCATCAGGCAGTAGGCTTGCTGACAGAGTGGGGAGCCTCTGGACAGTTATCAGTGGCTAAAAAGATGGAATACTGTGTGAGTACTGCAAAAGTTGAGAGCCTGCTAGTCTAAGCCAAGAGCAAGTCCCAGCAGCAGAAGCTAGGTCAAGAGCAGGCAAGGCTGAAAGAAATCTTGTTGCTTTTCAAATAAATCACATAATCATGAGTATGATCTGGGAACTCTGTATGGCCACTGCAATGAATTATCAAGCCCAGCAGAGAAATGAGTGTGCCACAGAAGGTAGAGAAGTAAAGGACTGCCGGTTTGCCTTTCACTTCGTAAGAATAAGTTTTATGATAATGGTGATTCTCTTTCCTCCTCATGAGTTTAGATGGTTTCTAATAGTACTAAATTATGTGCTCTATATATAATTTTTAATAGTACTAAATTACATGTTTTTAAAAAAAACAATCTTTTACTATTGTGATTTTAAATAATTTGAACCAATATTTATCTTTTATGTTTCAGGCATTTATTAATACAGCAAAAGAAATTTATGAAAAAATTCAAGAAGGAGTCTTTGACATTAATAATGAGGTACATACAAACATTATTGACTGACATTAATGTAGATTTGAGTTTTAATTGCTACTTAAGATTCACTTTATATTTATATATATATACATTTATAAGGTGGATCTACAATATTGGTTGACATACATTAGTTTACAATGTTTTCATTATCTGAAAGCTTACAATGCAGTTTTACTATTTAGAAAACTTGGTATAGGTAGCATAATTGTTGAATGTTTATGTTAGGTGGTGAAGAATCAGTTTATAAAAAGGGAACCCTGTCTATTTATTACAAACAATGCAAAATAATATAAACTCCTCAAAGAAAGCAAAATTCTACTTTCATCCACACATCCATATGGTCATCTGCTTTGGGGAATACTTTTCTAGTGTGTAAATGCTTGTACTATGTTACTAATGCTAGATATACTCTTTCACCTGCTGTGAAAGCAGGAAATACCCAATTTGGAAATCACACCCAGTATAGATAGCATGGTAGGTTTTCAGAATACCAAGTTAATGTATATAATTAGTACTGAGTTTTTGTAGTTATTTTAGTTTTAGTTTTGATTTCCATAAAATATTTGACCTAAACCCTCACTATGCGTTTGTCCTTATTTATTGCAGAATCTTTATGTGGATGTTGCATATTACTTAATTTTACATAAGTATTTTTACCATTCTACAGTAACACTTTTTTCTTTCAAGCAAAAACCCTGGCTCCTTCACCAATTGCAGTTAGGAAAGAAGTACTGGGTTAGGAAGCCTTTGCTTATTATCTCTTAGCCTGCATATAAACATAAAATTCTCTTTCATTCACTCTCATGTTGTTTGCTAAAACAGACAATAGTTTGTCTGAGGTTTCCGAGTAATACAATTTCTAAATCTTTTCTATTGGTTTATATTACCGTAGATCTTGAGTTAACTTAGTCAATGTCAGTCAGAGACTAATTCCATATAAACAGGGCAATAATTGGGCTGCTGTTTAAAAAGCAACATTCATTGTTTCTGTCTAGTTTCATATAGTAGCTAACTGCTTTGCTATGCTTATGTATGGAGCTTTGATTATAATAGTATGCTGTCAAGAGCCAACAATCCATCCTATTTATTTGGCCTACTGCCAAATCTGACTCCTTGGTTCTTCAAGAAGTTACTTCTAGCCCAGAGGGGGCAAAACCAATGAGCCATAGGGTATGCCTTTTATTAAAGAGGAGTCAAAAGAACTAAAAGAAACCACATCAACTGCTGTCAGTACTACACTAGTGCCAGAAACCCCAAGGCTACTACTGTTGAAGAACTACTGCCAGGCATTATAAATCTGAGATTTACTGTGACATAAAGTTTCCTTAAGAGCTTAATATCTGAAGCTACTGTATTACTTTTCTCAGAGTGTTGTGTTTTCAGTTAAAATCCACTTGAGGGAGTGAGAGTTAAGATAAAAGTGTGAATTTGATGAATGAAAGAACTACTCTGTGTGTGGGTTCTTGGCAAACTGCCATGTCTTGGGGGCTCATAGAAGTTATTGATGACAAAGAACACTCGTATGCCCTGAGCCCATGCAGCTGATGCAACTGGGAACCGAAATGCTGCATAGAGCAGCATAGGCTTTGAATGTTTTTATCCTTAAAGGATTACTTGTAGTAATTGGTTTTAAACAATTTTTGCATTAAGAAATTTCCCTGAAAAACAGTATCCATTTTTTTGTTTACTAAATAGAAATTTATAAAGGAATTTTAAGTTTACAGAAAAAGAATCATTTCCAAAAACATTCCCTCAGTGATTTAAGAAAGGAGCCATCCCTTTCCTAAAAACTGTTGTTTTTGTTATTGCCAAAATCTGCTTAATTTGATACAATTTTTCAGTTGTTTAGCAAAATTTGTACTGTTAATAATCAAATTAATTTTTTAAACATCTAATTACACTGTTTGGTTGGATCCAATTGTATTGATTGTTCTTTTTGCTTTTTATTTCAGGCAAATGGCATTAAAATTGGGCCTCAGCATGCTGCTACTAATGCCACACATGCAGGCAGTCAAGGAGGACAGCAGGCAGGGGGAGGTTGCTGCTGAGTTGGTTTTTACTGTTAAGTGCCCACACGCGGCCTCCTCACTTGTTCTTTCACCCTCTTTCCTCCTGCTCAGCTGAGACATGGAGCTATTCAAAGTGGCTTTACGTCACAGAAGACTTTAATCCTTCAAATTCTTGTATAACTTTGAATAAATGGTTAATGTTCACTAAAAAAGACAGCTTTTGGAGATTGTATTCATACATATTTACATTTGATTTCTAGGTCAATTGATGTGATTATTTTTGTTAAATGTTGTCTTGTGCCCTTGACTATGAACTGAATTGTATTAAACACTACAAAGTCATCTTGAGTATTTTAAATTGGTTTATGTAGTTAGGTTTCCCAACACCTGTTGGTTACCTAATGTTTAATATTATAGAACTGTCCTCAAAATTTTGTTAGTGTTCAAGGCTATAAGGAAAAGCAGGACTCTTAATTCTGTATTTGCTATTTACTTTATCTGTATATATAGTTTAATAACATGCTTGGGTGTAATTTGCCAAGCTTGAATTCTTTAATGCATTTGCATAAATTCTATACCATTTAGTGCTTAAAGCTACAGAAGCATTGTTAGGAATTGCTTGGACGCTGAATTTTAAACTTTTTGACATTGTTAACAAGCATGTTCATCTTTTCTTGTCACTAGTCCAAGAAAAAACACGCTTCATGTATATTACTAAAGGCTATGTATGTGTTCACGTATTTTAATGCCAAAAGTTTGCTATTTGTCCACAAGTTCCTTAACACCTCTCAGAAAAGGATTTGTTTGCCTTAATGAATAATTGTTGCGTAAAAAACACAGTCAAATAAGTGAAAGTGGCAGAAGCAAGGAATCCCTACACCTAAGCAGCTTCCAAAATGATGATCGACATTTAGATGGCACATTATGAGGACTTTAATCTGAAACATAATATTTTCTTTTTCTTTTATTCACATGATTTCTAAGTGTACTTCTCATGCAGGACAGTTTTTCAACCTTAATGTATAGTGGCGTGTAAGATTTTTCTTTCAGTGGCAACCTATAATCTTTAAAATATGGTAAGCATCTTGTCTGTTTTGAAAGGGATCTGACAATAAATTTACCAGAGGAGAAACCCTATTAACTAGAAGAGCTTTAGTAATTTACTCATTGTGGTGGTTTTATCTTTTCTTTCTTTCTTTCTTTTTTCTCCCTTGACCTATAATGAAATTGTTAAAGCTGTGCAAAATAAAATCCTATGTATTAAAGTGTTTTTTTTATTTTATTATGATGACATATTTTCTTTAAAAATATTTGTAGTCCATCCACAGCTTCCACATATATTTGAACATGAGTGGGTGGCGGTGTCAAAATTCTTAACAATTACCCTTTTTTTTTAAATTTTTTTTAATATTATTAAAATGTGGTAAAACTGTTTACATTAACTATATTGATTTTCTACTAGACCTCATTGGAAAATTCAGCAAAGTGACACGATATAAGATCAACATACAAAAATCAGTTGGATTTCTCTATACCAAAAACGACAGCATTGAAAAGGACATTAGGAAAGCAATACCATTTACAATAGCCACCCAAAGGATGGAATATCTAGGAATAAATGTAACCAGAGGAACAAAGGAATTATACAAAGAAAACTACAAAACACTACTACAAGAAACCAAAAGAGACTTACAAAACTGGAAGAATATACCATGCTCCTTAATAGGAAGAATTAACATTGTGAAATTGTCAATACTTCCCAAAGTAATTTACAAATATAATGCAATCCCAATCCAGATTCCAACAACATTCTTCAAAGAGATGGAAAAAAAATCGCAAACTTTATATGGAAAGGAAAGAGACCCAGGATAAGTAAAGCACTGCTTAAGAAGAAGAATGAGGTTGGAGGCCTCTCACACCCCTACTTCAAAATTTACTACACAGTTACAGTGGTCAAAACAGCTTGGTATTGGTACAATGAAAGATACTTAGATCAATGGAACAGAATCGAGAATCCAGAAATTAACCCATCTACATACAGCCAACTGATTTTTGACAGAACACCCAAATATATTGCAGGGGAGGTGATAGTCTCTTCAACAGATGGTTCTGGCAAAACTGGAAAACAACATGTACAAGACTGAAACAAGACCTTCACCTCACACCTTATACAAAAACCAATCCAACATGGATTAAAGACCTAAATGTGAATCCCAGAATTATGAAGGCCATCAATGAAAAAATAGGGCAAATATGAGGGCACTAATTCAGGGAATACACAGACTACAAAACATTTTGAAAAACACACAAACAAAAGTAGACAAAATAGATGAGTGGGACATACTAAAAATTAAACACTTATGTACATCAAAAGACTTCACCAGAAGAGTAAAAAAGGAACCCACATAATGGGAAAAAATCTTTTGCAATGACACATCAGACAAGGCACTCATTTTTAAAATATATAGGAAACTA